CCGCCCGAAAGTACAGTTAACTGGGTAGCACAGACACAATTAGTAACGCATAGATTGCGCATACGTGACCACCGTTGCTCGTTTATTGCCTCCCGGTCCAAATATCGTTCACGCCTTAATAGATAATCAAAGAAAATCAAAGAAATCGTTAGATATTTAATCTTTAATTCGTAATTTTTTAAAGCGAGAGAATGTAATTTTAAGGAATTATGTTAACGAATAAATTATATTATAAAATTATAATAAAATGATGAACGGGTACCGTGTTGCAGATTCTCCTTTCAACAGTTTTGACTCTGTCTTCAATTTCACCTCGACAAACTTCGAAGAGTTAGGAAACTTCCGCAATGCGTGCATAGATTACGTAAATACATCATCCCTTGAAAGGAGTCTTATTAAAGTATAATTACGCTTAGTGCATCTCCAAATTTGAAAGCTAACTTGAGAGCTCGTTCGCGTTCTCAATTTAATTCACGTTCTCGATCTCGCGCATATAATGCACGACTTACCAAATTATATTTCTGAGAAAAAGATTAAAAGCATATCTCTGCCGTAGTTCTCTATCTATAGCACAGAGTAAAAGCTCGCTACCGATCGTACACGACTTGATAAAAAATGTATCAATCCCCTTTAAAGGCGAGACACGTACTCAAGCAGCTACGAGCATCGCGCACATCATTTGAAACTTAAATGCTAAAGAGAAGTTTAATGGACGATTTTAAGAACGACCATTCTCGAAAAGTGTAAATTTAACTCTGGCTTTGCGTTATAAGTAAGAAGCAGCGCAAACGACTTTTCCAATAAGCGCGGGCGTATCGGAAGATACGGATTATCTCTGTATCTTTTAGCACATAAATTTTCCGTCGACTGTTGTTCTTTAATAACGTCCTTTCTTTTTTTAGTGAAAATGTCGGTCATACGAGGTATTCGTAGTCGATTCTTATATTTAAGACTGTCTTAAGTACAATCTTAACATATCATGAACCAATCAGAGAGTCAAATTAGCATTTTAAGACATTACTTAAGAGGGTTTTAAAATAAAAATAGACTATGAATATTAGCCTTTACATATATTTTTTAATCGCTCTAGTATTTGTTACTTTACTTGTATTTTGAATCTCATTGTTAATTTCCGTGATTATGTAATCTCACGCAGTCACGATACCGTGCAACTTTAAATCAAACGTCACTGCGGTTACATTTCGTACGCGAGAATCACGTTGAGGAAGAATATAACGCCGCAGATGATTGAAGAGCTATTACAGTCAATTATACACGGTAGCTTCATCTCGTTCGGATGTTACGTTAGAATACCTTTGACGAACCGTGCGAAAGACGATGTTTCGGTTGCGTCGGTAAGTATTATGAACGTACTCTTGAATGAATAGATGCATTGGTATCATAGTCACGTTTACGTCCCTGCAAAACTACTCGAAAGATCCTGCAAGGCACTTAGACATTCAGTTTTGTTCGCACGTCGAAAAAAATTTTTAGCTAGTAAATTATAAGTTATCTTGCTCTTGCGAGCGTAGAGATCAAACAAAAGAAATCCTTTTACAAAAATTGCATAAAATTGAAAATATGTTATGAAAACGTCGAGAGGAAACAGTTAATGATGTTAGCAACTATTTGAGAAACTTAAATTAACTAACGAGATCTTTGAAATAAATCAAATAGAGAGGAAGAGAAAAACACTTTGGGCATGTAAAATTATTTATTGCTAACGTGTTATTACGGGCAACATTGCGGTATTATATTTTTACGAATAGTAACGAGGTGATGTTTTTGTTTTATCACATAGTTGGGCGCTTTTCAAAGCGTTGAAGTTGACGTGCGTGCATGTTCATTAAGAGATTCCGTCAGGACGCCTTTAGTGCGAGAGCCCGACAAGTCTCGAAGAATTGCACAATGTACGTTCCTCACTGCAATGCGACAAATGAGCATGACTGCGATAAATCGCTTCTTATAACAGACTTATATCTCACGTTCTTGTACCGTTATCGAACCGTCCCTCGATATTTAACTACCATCGTTTCTGCGCACCCATGATCGTCGAGATGTTTGCATAAACAACCGTGCGCCATTAGGGCCAGGGTATTAAACTTGTATCAGGACGAGAACTTGCTCCTGCGTTCTTTCAAAATCGATATCGTCACGTGGAATCATGGATCTGTCGATGTTGCACCTTGAATATTTGCCATTTAGCGAACTAGGTGTACCGCGAAATCTTCCATTAGTCAACTAACGCGAACGTATAATTAATTATCGTATGTTACGAGTCGGCTTGAACTCATCGTTCATCTACGTCGACCCGTTTCGACTTATATTGACACACTTAGGCGTATTACCTGATTGGTATTTATCGAGAAATGAAGTAAAATCTAGAATTCGGGACACGCGGCACTCGTCGGATGAAAGGAGATCAGGAAAGGTGCGAATGAGGTGTGAACGTGAAGGCAATAATTTTTAAATTTAATATTGTAACGCGAGAGAAACGAACGAAAGTTTGAGAAAGGACACTTTTCTTTTTTGCACGAGTTCCTATCGACGTCCGACTTTAGGGCGGTGCGAGTCTCGCTCGTGAAAAACGGAACTAGCGAATTCGCTTTTCGAAGTTTCGCCCCTATAGCAATACCTACCTTCCAGATATATTATTCTAGCTGTCGTACGGAATCAAGTCGGAAGGAAATTCTTCAGATACAAGAATAGCAACTCCAAACTCACCTCTTCCGCCAATTCTATACTTTTCCCACATGCCGACAGTCACCATCTTGTCACCCGGCACATAACACAAAGAATATCGACTTTCTATAACTACGTTTCTGTCTGATTGTGAGGAAAAGGGAGAAAGAGAGAGAGAGAGAGAGAGAGAGAAAAGGGATTTTTAAAGAATATATAAATGCAAATAAATTCTAACTTATCTTGTTTCAATAAAATACGATATGACACTTATTGGTCTTATTTTTATTTTTTTCAGCTTAGTTGTCTATTATTTCTATATTTTATCTAAAATGTTTATAGAATTATTTAAAAAAACATGTAAAAGTATATAAACATATGAGTTTTTCTTTGTTTACTTTTTTATCGTTTTATATTTTATTTAGTTGCTCTCTATTTTTTACATTATTTTTTTATATTTCATTTTCTTGCGCATTTTCTTTCTTTGCTTTTATATTATTTTCTTCGTTTATACATTACTTCTTTCTGTAAATTATTTTCTTTGTTCTTTTTCGTTATTATGATTATTTATATGTTTTTAGAGAGCTCGCCTTAGAACGACACAATAAACGTTTTATCTATTTATCTATCTATATGATGTGTTAATGTATGAAAGTATATTGAGCTCGAGTGTGTGGATGTTCGCTAAGCCCAAATGTGGACCTGTCATTTATGCGGAGAGAGATATTTCTTTCAGAAGCGATAAAATTCATGACTTCTAACCAGCGAATGAGCAAAAATAAGTCAGTTATATAGTCGTAAATGTTTCATAAAATTGTTGACGTTTTGAATCACTGATGTTGCGCTAAATATTAGAAAAAACATTCATTAGTCAAAATTGTCATTTAAAAATGACGATTAAAAATATCGATTTATCATGTATGAGTTATTTATATTACATATGTATAATTATTTATCTATAATAAAATAATATTCCTCGATAACCGCGTAAAGTAACAAAAGTAAACAATGAGATTTTAAGAACAATTCAGCTTATATTTTATCCTTTAAAATAGACATTTATATTTTCCGCTATTATGTGTTGCATTTAGTCGTACTTCATGTTCTTCTTGTTGTACAGCTTGTAAAGGATGCCAAGTTGATTGATGAATTACTAGTTTTACGGAAACGAAATGGTCAAAGGCAAAAACCTATTTTTGTCCGGTAATCTATTGGAGTAATGCATCACCCGGTCTTCACTTGTCATAATTCCATCCGTTCTGTTGGATGCCGCCTTTCGTAATCCAGCAAGGTCACTCAATTCGACCATTCAACGAGATCATTTCAGCCAATTTGCAAGTTATCGACTAACAGAATCGCATTTAAGAATATAAATATCCGCTATTAGACATAGTAGGTAATTCAGTTTGTTCGAATCCTCTACGGAATCTGTGGGGGATAATCGCGGGATAATCTTCGGCCGCATTCTAATCAAGAGAATGGAACCAAAACGAAGACCGCTAATTGCCTCTATCTATCACATGTTCCTAACTCCATTACCATTACGTAAAGCCAACTTCCAAGGCGTTACAATATCCGCGAATATTACAATCCCGGGCACGCCCGTTTGTCGATTGATCTTCACCGTCATCCCCAACGCGCGAGTTCTGCCGATTCCGTGCGCGTGTGTACAAAGCACACGTAAGTCCTGATCCTCATTATCTTTGCTCTTATATCTCTCGGCAACGACCACCATCGAAGAAGAGAAGCCGAGCGACCTTATGATCGCTTCGGGAATTCTTTGATCTGACGGTCGTTACGTCACTTCCGTTATGTCTAGTCGTCCTTTCGCCGGTTCCTACCGGCTAGTCTGATAGTCGCCTTTCCTCCCAGGCCTCCCCGCAACAGCCCTTGCCACTCGGTTCACGCGACACCCAGACAGACTCCGGTCACGTACAATATACCCAGAAGCGTTCTATACGTGGTGATCGTCCCTGACGGTGTATAGACCGGCGCGACGACGGCGGCGATAGTAGGCCCGGCTGCGCGGACGACCAATCGCGCCGCACGACTAGTGGGGATGCTGGTAGGTGCGTCGCGACAGGGGGGTGAGAGGGTTTCCCACCGCCAACGCCGCCGTCACCGTCGCCGCCGCCGCCGACGCAGGGGGCCGCAGCGCCGCGAGTTCTCCCGTCAGAGAGCCGGCAGCCCGCAACGCGAGTGTTGCTGCCGAGCTTTGATAATCGAGAGGCCGCAACAAGCACTGTGAGAATCGTCGCCGTCGTCGTCGCCCTCGCCGTCGCCGTCGCCGTCGCCCTCGCTCTCGCCGCCGTCGACAGCAGGGGACAGGGCCCGTCGAGGAGAGGAGGATTTCGCGTCCGTATACGTTTTCCGACGTGCACTCGACGGAGAGGCTTCCGCATTGGACAACGAAACGTCGTTCGCCGTCGGAGGCCATCCGTCGATCTCCCTACGCCGGTCTCCGTGTAGTTCTCTCGGACCCTCCTCTCTCTCGTTCGGTCTCTCGCCCGTCCGCTCGCAACCCCCGTCGTCTTCGGGACGCCCGGTGTTGTAGCACCGCCGTACTCGATACATAGAGACACGTATAACGTCAAACGTACGTCATTGTGCTTCACACGAGTTCTATCATTCCTCATCGCTCTCTTTTTTTCTATTCTACCTCTTCTCTTTTACCTTTCCTATTTCTTTCCTACCCTCTTTCCTTGCCTACTACTTTTCTCTCTACGTTGCCTCCCTCCCCCCTCGCTTTAATCTCACCCGTTCTCAATCGTTCCGATCTTCTGCGTCTGGTACAGTACTTTTCGCGGTGCGCGAAAGAAGCGAGAGAGGTGTGCCCCGCTCCATCTCTCGTTGGGCCTCGAGAAAGCAGACGAAGGGACTGACAACTTGGAGACGGACAGTCTCCAACGCGCGACATCCCCCTTTCCTCCGAGGGACATCCCGTTAGTCACGGGCGACGTCATCGTTCGCCTATTACCGCAGTGGTAACAGCCCTCCAGGATACTTCCGGAACCTGGAATTCGGTTCGTTCGAGGCTACCCCCCGGCTCGTGGTACCCAGGAATATTGCTGGGGGAGTGTAACGAGTAACCAGGTGAGTACGCTACTATACTATTAGAAAGGCCGAGGGCTCGATCGAAATCCGTTATCCGCCGCCGTGTCGGCGACCTACCATTTAACCGGGTCACGATGGCAACGACGGACGGACAGACGGACGGTTGAGGCGTATGCAACCCTGACGAAATTTCTGCTGACGATTTTCTCGCCTGCCATATGACGTATGGATTTTATCGGTCGGCACACCGCCCGTCGCCACTACCACCGTCACCGCTATTGCTGGGTGTCTCGCGAGAGGGGGTGATCTGTTACTAAGGGGTTGCACTGCAGTGCACGGTACGTGGTGGGGTGGTTTCGTCCCGAAAGTTTCACCGGGATGCAATCAATTCTCGTTCGCCGGTCATCTTTATTACTTCTGGTATTGGATCAACTCGTAACTCGATATCTTCTCGATCTTTTGATTAAAAGCAAACGAAGAGAAAAACCTTATCGACAGTGCTATCTACTCTGATGTCTAACAGAAGGTACCGGCATCATCCCACCTCATGACCACAGTGCATTTCGCATGGATCGATCGTGATTCGACCACGTAAGACTTTCGGCTGTTCCCCTCGTCTTGACTCCAGTCGAATTTGGATCAATGATCTAAGGACTATGCGGAGCACCCGGCATTGTGCCCGTCCTGCGCATTAAGCCCGTTAGGATGTAATAACGTTATACGGAGGGCTCGTGTAATTCCTGCGCAATACCGGCTTTGTCGACGTGCGTGCGTGCGGTACGGCCACGGCGCCGACTCGTCGAGGAGGCAGCAATCTCCTCGTTGGATCGTTCCCCGACGATCTTCCACCCGCGATCGTAAAATATTGGAAATTCCGCGGACCTGCAAATTCCACAGTGAATACATGAGGCTTCCCAGACTCCCCCTTCCCGGGGAAAACTGATTTCCCTTTCTACAGAAAATGCTCGGCCTCTCGTAGGGTTTCGACGGGAATCTCATCGACGTTCGGCTTAACTGCAGAAAAGTGCGCAGGGCCGCCCGTGTGCAGCCTTCGCCTTGAGATCTTCGATTTGGCGACCGGCTAGTAATGTTTGATTTCCATTTGAATTCTCGTACGCATATATACATATCTCCGAATCCAGATACGACATATACTGCTATGAGAATTGTTGTAGATGTTAGAAGAATAGACTTACGAATATTTGAATCTCATTGAGAAATAAACTCCAAGAACTATTCTTGGGAATTATTCAAAAGTTTGTATTAACAATAAACATCGTACGGATTTCTCGGAATTGACTGAAGTGGAATTGGTATCTCCTTCTCAAATTTGTAGTCGCAGGTTTATGAAACGAATAGGATCGTTAATGAATTCTGTATTGTATTGCCACGACACTGGAGAAGTTTGCCGAGAGTTTTCAACGATTGATCGTCCATCATAAAGTTTCCCCAGTACATACGTTCGTCGACCATAAAGCGAGTATTAAAGGGTAATATCGAGACTATGCAGTTTGTATGGAGGAGGAATTACGGCCGCATTTCGACATAAGGAATAGGAGCGAGGCAGGAGGCAGAGCGGCACTTTGTATACCGCCAACCCTCTTGGTATTAAGCTTCTCCTCGACCCCTGCTACTTCTATTTCGGCTCCGACTCCATTTCATCTCTCATCTTTCGTACGCAGTGCAGATGGAGCATCCATATGAGCGTACGGAGCCATTTGTTAGACAGACGGTACGATCTGGCGCGGCAAAAGTAGATTTAACGAATAATCAGAGCAATAGTGGGACACGAATCGACCGGCTGGAGCTTTCGTTCTTTGTCTCGACTGACCGCGTTGGATACGTTAATTGCAATTAGCACCATGCGTGTAGCGTAGTACTTACACTAATAAAGAATAATGGTAGCCATGATAACGTTAAGCCGGAGCTTTGCCCTAACGGGATATGAAAATTTAACCTCACGAAGATATTAGAGTCGTTTTTTACTTTATATTTTCTTTCGCGCGAGACTCACCGTGATAACGTAATTTTCTTTTCGTTTACTCTAAGTATTATGATCTTGGCTATTTAAGATTTAAAAGCTGAGTATATCGCGTCAGTGATTGAATGGCCGTCGTGAAAAGAAGATTAAGTGGCGGCGCTTAAAAGGCCGATTAGATTTAAATGAGAAAGTAGCTGCAGTCTAATGGTGAAATAACTTCTCACCTATCAAACGATCAGCAGACAGTCGATAACCAGATTATCTATAACTATTATTTCCTTTATCGCGTGTTCACAGATTCAATCAAAATTACCATATCTGGATGTTCAAATTGATTAAAAAATAAATTCTTTTAAGATCAATCATAGAGATATCCAAAATCAAAGTTTGGACATAAAATAATAACTTATTGATTTGGCATTTTTCGTCAATTCATGTTAGTCAGAGTGAGATAGCATATATCTTTTTTTCTCTCGCACTGCTGTAGCCGCAGAGTGAGATATAACATATCTTCTCTCACATTCGTACGATTTTAACGAGAAATGCCAGACTTCTTGTTATAATTGGACTCCGATTAAAGGATCTCTAATTGTAAGATAAATTATTGGCTGTGCCAGATTCCTTGTTATAATTACAGGGTTTCTAAGATTAATCATTGATCGTTGATGATATATAACATATTTATGAGAGAAATATATCGATCAAGATAAAACATTGCGCATAATGGCAATCGAATATAATTTTGGGATAAATTTCTAATAACGGTTTTATATTAGCTTATAATATTTTGGGCTAATTTCTGATTGATCATCAACTGCGCAACCTTAGCATCTACGGAAATGAAATACTTGGTATTTTTACATCGTAGATATAACTACCTAAGAGATATATTGATTAATAAATAGCACGCAGAAAATTACTACAGAAAAAAGATTATTTCTCAAGGCTCTCTCATGATGTATGATGTTACAGCAATGAGTACCACGGACCCTACCGGGGAGGGTGGAGGAGGGGGAGGAGGAGAAAGCGCCACAACGACTAACGTCGAGCAGACTCCATCCCCAAGCACGCCGATCACCGGCACCTCCGTACCGATGCAGGTAAAATCATTGAATTTATAAAGTATCGCAAATATTTCTAAAATATTGCCTCAATATTGCGGAAGTGCACATAGCACACGATTTCATGCATGGTGGTTCATCTTTTAAACTGTACTTACATTTCCCTTCGTGCACTAAACTTCTACAACAAATAAACTCGTATTAAACTAAATAATATATACATAAATTAAGCATTCATACATATTTTTTTGGTCATAAATAAACTAATTACAATTAAAAAACATTTATTTACATACTCGACGTCTCCATTTTCTTAAATAAAATACTTTCTTATATACAAATGCATAAATTTGAAATGGCCGCATTTCGCGTCAAAAAAATGGAGGCGAATTTGCGGTACTTTATAAATCTAATGATTTTACGTGCAGGCGACCACTCAACAACAACAACAACCGCAACAACATCCGCCACCGTCGCCCTTGAGCGGCTGCTACCTTCTCGTGGTGCTTCCTGAGCCTCATACCGCACAACATAAGGACCTTATCCTGAATCGCCTCGCAAAAGGTAAGATGTTTATTTTATTCAATTATAATTAAAGTTTCGCAACCATATACGCTTTTTGGTATGATCATTCTTAGTAACAGAAAAAGACATGAGTCACACATATGCGGGGACACACACATGTAATAGAAAAAAATTCTCTTTTAGCTTTCTATACGCAAAATATGGCTTCACACATGAAACTTCGGTACGCGTTATCAGTCTAACGGCACGCATTAATGCGTACGATTATAGCTGATAGACACGTGTTTATTGTTACGATTATATTGCAATAATTATTATATTCCTGTGAAAATATCGAGATTTAATCATGTATCGGATACAACAGTTTGTCGACGATACAAATGGCATGCTAAAGCTTGATTGAGAATGCATTTTGCGATTGCACATTGTTAGATATCAAAGGAACAAACATAATCCAATGCTTTTAGTAAAATAACATTTTGTTATCTTCAATTTCCATGTCTGTCAAAATCAATCCATTTCTGTGGTTAGTTTCAAATTGATTAGTTTAAATATAATCGTATATTAACGTATGCATTTAATAAATAATAAACTATATTTGAGACAAATTTAATACATTTTTTAAATTAAATTAATGACATATATATATATATATTGTATATATATTTATTGGATAGGAGCAGTGGCGACCTATAGAAAGTATTAAAAATTGGTTATAATTCGACATTATGAAATTTAATCAAGGTTGCAAAAAATTCTTTGTCCTAAAATTCCATAATTTTTCTTTGATTTACAGACAAAATTTCCTGGTTTTCAATAATATTTTGAAATTTTTTATATTTTCCTAATTTATGGAAGCGATTAAATATTTAACAGAGCAATTTAACATATTTGCATTTAATTATTAAGTTGGTAGTATTCCAAAACTGTGTAGATGTAACATATGTATGTCAAATATTCTTTAAAACCAAGAATTTTAATTTTCCAGACAATTTTGCAAAATTCCCTTACTTTTCCTTAATTTCTTTGATCGTTTTCAATTTCCTTGACATTCCCGTTTTCCTCGATTTCCAATTTTATAGCAATCCTGTGAATAGTGTAGTGATTCGCGATTGTAATCATCTTCCTTTTTAGCGGTCGTATCACAACGTCGCGTTTCCGGATTAAGATCGCGCATATCCGTCGCATTGCTTACTTCCTGGATGTGTGTATACGACTGTGTCTGTCTAACGGTGTTCGTCATCCGATTATATTCCTTTCGAGATATCGGACAGGCTCGACGAACAGTTGGTTGCTAGGCGGATAGTAAAACGGACACACGTATTCTCTTTTTCTTTCTCTCTTGCGAAGAAAATCGTCATGGCGCGCAACTCGTTTATTCCTAATCGTCTGCCAATTAGATGTTCGATATCGAGCCGCTAATTCCTCCGCGTTCATATACGTTTTCCCCACAGGCGTGTATGAATGATGGTTGGCGGTGCCGATATAAAGCTTCTTTCAATCGCTCGAGAAAGGTACGTGTTTGTAAGTGGCACTATGATATTAATTGGCAAACATTCGTTCGTTTGCGGTTTACCGTAATTATACGGCAGTAATGCAGGATCGATAAGACAATTCCATTTCCTTAAGGCTCGTCTTCATTCAAATCAATCGTGCCGATACTAGTTTCTTTTTTTTAAATAAAAATAGAAGAAGAAGCCAGTACGCTGATCCACTTCAGTAGGGATGAACCTTTACACTCGTACAAAACGTAAGAATTGAATATTTTAAAGTTTTTACATTATTATTGCAATCTTAACAGTGCTGTACTCTAATTAGTCAATATTGTTCCTTATATAGATGTTTAATTTTTAATTTCGAAAGTCCGCATCATAGGTACAATCTTTTCGAATATTATACGTCAAGAGAAGTCTTATGCATTCTTATAAAAATACATAATCTCAAGAAAAAAAAACTTACGTAAAGAAATGTTCTTAAATTTCTATATCGTTAACTTTAAATAAAAAATATATTTTCTACAGTAATAATTTTTTAAGTGCATCAAAAAATTAAGAGGAAATACTATGTAATCTCTTATATTATATCGCTTTACAATTATTATTATCGTCACGAAATTGTCGTTACAATCGCTATATACGAATATGTGCTTGGGATTCATAATTAGCGACGCCAACGTGGTCCACATATTAAATTAGAAGCGATAAAAAGGAAGCATAAAAGGACCAATAAAAAGAAATATGTTATACGCTACGTCCTTTCGATAAAGATAAGTACAGTACATTGTGGTATTTCAATAATAGCAGGGACATCGATTTCAAATTGATCAAAGTCCGTTAATAAAAAATTTATATCAATATATCTTTTATTACGCGCAACTAATTTGTTAATTAGAATTTTTCTTCGGAATATGTATTTCTATTTATGCACGTTTCTAAGGTACTGATATAACATTATGTTCCCTGCAGTTGAAATAATGGAATTTTGTAATATGTTGCTTTTCTAGAATTCAGAAAACAAAATTAATGTATTAACACTGCGTTTTTAAAGAGAGGAGGAGAAAGAGAGAGAGAGAGAGAAAGAGAGAGGGGAAGCCGACGCACGAACTCCGTACTCGTGTTTTCCGCATTGCGCCAGTGATGATTTTTAACGACGCGCTTGTCGACTTCGTTTAACGTTTATTTGACAATTTTTCAATCCTTTCGCACGCAAATTCTACAGTCTGCCTCGCCGCGGTCGTTTGCATTTGCGACGATGATTTCGCGAAAAGCCGTCCGATAATAACATCGCTGTGTGCGTATATGTACGTGAGCGCTGTAACTTTGCCGTTAATAGCGAACCATATTCATATAGCGTACATACATAGAATTTAACCTACGATTAAATATTGTATACTCCGATTATGTATTGAAGTATTCCATTATATAAACGTAAAGTGTATGTTTATTCTGTAAATATAATGAACGCAAAAACTGCGCGCGATTTAATTTCAAAGCTCGCAATATATGTATATATATATATATGTACATATAAGTCTAGTTATATATATATATATATATAACTAGACTTATTTAATTTGTTCTTTTGAAAAATTAGTTACACAGAAGCACAAAAAAATTTTTTCGAAAACAGCTTAAATCGGAGTAAGTGTTTTTTTATAGATTTTGAGTCACTGTATCCGAGTTCGTAAACTGTTTTGTTCCATCACGTTAATTTTTTTAGATATAATCAAGAAAAATGATGAAAAATTTGTGAAAATTTAAACATTTAAGGAAATTGCAGCAAAAGTAAATATAACATTAAAATGCCGTCACAGAACTGATTTAAATATATTTTAGCAAGTTTAATAAAGTGTAGGAAGCAAAAATTTTGCTTCACTGTTTATAGATATTATAGTCTATATACGCATCGCGTAAATTCATACTGATGTACTTTGTGCCCAACTCTGTGGCGCTAACATAAAAGTAAAAATTAATATAACTATTTCTGGAGCTGAAAAAATTGTCCACAGCTCACGCAGATAGGTTATTTGTTACACAATATATTTTATACCGATTTGTTTTCTAACGTATTATATATAGACTATAATATCTAACATTAATAAACCAAAATTTTTTTGTTTCTTATACTTGTTAAACTTATTAAAATACATTTAAATCAGTTCTGCGACTGTATTTTAATGTTATATTTACTTTTGCTCTTTCCTCAAATGTTTTAATTTGCATAGACTTTTCCATCATTTTTCTTGATTATCTGAAAAACTCACGTGATAAAGCAAAACGGCTTACGAATTGGGATTCAGCGACTCAAAATCTATAAGAAACATCTATTTTGAGTTGGTTCTTGAAAAATTTTGTTTGTAATTCTATATTATTGGAGCTTCTACTCACTGCAGCCATCTTGGATTGTGACGTGTGAAACGAGAAAAATACATAAAGAAAATTCTGGCAAACCACATTAAAACGTATTTTTTTAATAAAACAGCATTTGCAATTGAATAGATTTGTAAAATGTAATTGTAAAACTCCCTTTGTGTTCCAGTAGTTAACAAATAACCATATATTTGAAATTGAATTATGTCTAACCAAAAAAAGAAACAAGTTATATGACAGCTATCAAATCAAGATAAATACGATTTTATTTTGAAACAAAAAAAGAATTCAGTATATTTCAGTATATTTTACGAGTGTACTCTATCAAATGCAAATATTATTTTATTAAAAAAAAGTATCTGCTTTAATATATTGTGCAAGAATTTTCATTGTGTTTTCTCGCTTCTGATATCATGAATTAAAAAATCTGTGCTGAAGAAGCTTTAAATTATTATACTTATAGTCAGGAGTTTTAAATTATTATATTTATAATAATGATTATAATCATCACATATCTCTCACATCTAATTCTGTTTTTTCTTCTTTGCACTTTGCCAATTTCTTTATGTTTCGAAGTCAATATTCGGATCTTCGAGATTACTTGTGCAGTCGCGTACGATCATTAAGATTCGCTTTACTTTAGACTTACACGGGAAAATAGTCACGCAAAAACATTCCCCGCGCTTCGTGCTGCAGTATGATTTGCTCTTTTCTTCATCAAGAAGTGCAGGAGCTCTTCTTACTTCGTTCTCTTCGTGTGGATCTTCGTATGGACCTCCTCTCCTGCTTCGCGTAAATTTAGCGGTAGATTTCGAGCCTGTGAGACATTTGCCGCGCCATTTGCCGCATGTTGCGGGCGTTACCGCGTGCTCGCGGCTTCGCCGTGTCCTTAAATACACTCAAAAACTCGCGCGTACGCTTTTACGAATCCTCTGGTTCAAGCTCGTTGAGCCCTCGTCACGCGAGCATATTTCTAATTTGTTTTTTTTTTTTACTACCTACGCTTATCCACTACGTATTTTCTTGCTCTTCAGCAAGATTCTAATTGCACGTTCAAGGAGCTTTACAAGTGCAAAGGCGGAAATAGGAATTTACGCAAGATCGAACTTTTATCTTTACGAATTTATATTGCTTATTGAACGAAGCTAATGACTTAGAGTATAACCTAAC